CCGCGGTCATCCATGTCGTCTTCGTTGGTTTCCTCACTGTTTAATCTCGCTGCCGATCTCGTTGTCATTGGCATACCTTCTCTAAAGGCATGAAATATCCCACCGCTGCCACCAATGTTGTGCCAGATTAAGCGAGATCGTGTCGAAAAAAACCCGCCACAGCAAAGTAAAACAACTTCGTACAAACACGCTTTATTTACTAAAGAAATCACACCAAATCGTATTAAAATTGTCCTTTTATACACACTGTCAATTTACATAACCTAATTAGTTTTCACGCCTATATAGTTTTATTGTTCTATTTACAAATTTACACAGTAACACACAATACACACATAACACACATAATAGTCATTTGTCCCAATTGTTCTCTGACCGGCACTACAATATCATATTTTACAAATATAGCAGTTCAAAACGTAAACAAAGTTCACTTATGCGCACACGAGTGGACATCATCTTTAATATAATTATTGTGGATTTCATAAGGATTGTCATTATTTTAATTAAATATATTATATTTTATTTCACTTACCCAAAACGAAAACACGATTTCAGCCATACTTTTCCGTCTTCTTTGCTTTTTATCGCCGAATCTGGCAAATATCATCCAGTTGTTGTACTTCTACATAATCATGAATGTTGTTTTATTGTTTACGTTTAATATTTCATATCTCTTGAAAGTTGATTTCTCATCTCGGTAACGAATGCTAGTGTTTTCATGAGTTGCTCATGGTAGATATACATCCTAAAGTTTCAAATGCTGTAAAATATGATAGCATGAATATTATTAGTCTGGAAGGGTCATCTTTTAGAAATTCGTGGAAGGGCGAAATTAGCAAGAAATTTGGGAAGCAATTTAGGCGATGCTAGACGTATTTGACATGTTATGGCCTTTCGACGACTTGAGCCGCATAATAACACCATTTTTAGCGATCTTGTTTGCGTCGTGTGTTTCAGATATTAAACATGTTTATATCGTTAGTTCTTCAGTAAAGCGCAATAAATTATATTATGCCATCATTAAATGTTCAATATCTTACTCCTCTAAAGTGTAAATTTACGAATACCAAAATTGTTGTATTCACGGAAGGATAAAATTAACACAACCGGGCCGTGCGTGAAATTAGACAGTTCAACTTTGCGCGAGTTATCTATCGTGGTTTCGCGATATGGAAAAAATTTCATCGCTTGAAATTACTTTTGAATACATTCTTCAGAATGGTCATCAATCATTTTTTAAGTTTTTCATTATAAAGGTAAAAAATAAGGTTTTAAACGAGCTTTGCGATCTATCCGACCGCTGACCAGCCCCTTTGTCAGAAAAAGCAGTGATCTTTCACAAGCTACCATGGACGAACGGAACGGAATAATGTTTTCATTTTCTATCTCGTACTAAGGAATGTGACAAGATAAAATTATCTTTCAAAGAAATTCAATTTACATCGCTGGTTAAGCGGCCAAAGCACTTTGTCTACAAACTAGTCGTTCTAGCTCCAGATTAAAATTGTATCTGGAGCTGGTTCCAGATTCGCCAATCTGGAGCTGCCAATCTGGAGCTGTCTAGCTCGTCATGCTATTATGCCATATACTTCAATTACTGTAGTCTTGCCTGGCATTTTTGTAAGGGAAGTGATAAGAATAAACTAGAGGGAACTAATGAAAGAGGGCTAAGAGCAGTTTTTGCGACTGGGGTTCCTCTTACGCAGAGCTCTTAACGAAGGCTACTATGATCACGTTATATAATACTCAGTTGCAATTTAAAGCAATCTTCATGTATAAAATTAAACATAAATAGTAGTAGGGGAGTGGGGGAGGGGGTTAAAATTTTTCGTTCCCTTCATTGGAGCCTAATCGGCCCTCTACAAAATCAGTTCAAATCGACCTTTCTTCATCTTTTTTTCCCAAAAAATAATGTCTTAACCCTTACGAAAATTTCCTATAGGAATTCCTATAGGAAATCAAAATTCCTATAGGAATTCCTATAGGAATTGAAAATTCCTATAGGAATTCCTATAGGAATTAAAAATTCCTATAGGAATTCCTATAGGAATTGAAAATGGTCAAAAAAATTCCTATAGGAATTCCTATAGGAATTGAAATTTCCTATAGGAATTCCTATAGGCATTGAAAATTCCTATAGGAATTCCTATAGGAATTAAAATTTCCTATAGGAATTCCTATAGGCATTGAAAATTCCTATAGGAATTCCTATAGGAATTGAAATTTCCTATAGGAATTCCTATTGGCATTGAAAATTCCTATAGGAATTCCTATAGGAATTGAAAATGGTGAAAAAATTCCTATAGGAAAAAATATTCCTGTAGGAATTCCTATAGGATTGGAAAATGGCTATAGGAATTCCTATAGGAAATGAAAATTCCTATAGGATTTGAAAATGGTGAAAAAAAATCCTATAGGAAATAAAAATTCCTATAGGAATTCTTATAGGATTGGAAAATGGTGGGGAAAATTCATAGCCTATACCACTATGGCCTGATACATGCATGAGTATAAGAACTTTACTTATATAAAAAATTATACAGATAAATATAATTTACGAAATAACTCCTTCCTACAGGAATTTCTATTTCTTATAGGAATTTTTTCACCATTATCATATCCTATAAGAATTCTTATAGGAATTTTAATTCCTTATACAACTACACTATTCCTATATCGTATTTTACTCATAGACATTTATTAATAGAGAATTTAATACTGGGACTATTTATTTTCTAAGATTAAATGAATAATTAGCGCAATGTACGCAACTGACAGACTGGTGTCTAGTTTTCTTGCCACGCGCGCAAAGCATCAAGGGATAGATCATCACACCTCCGATATTTTTTCAAGTCAGTGTTTGTCAATGGTTTATGTGCAAAATAGAACTATTTTTGATGGGATTCAACTGGATTTTCACTAGTAATAGATCAGGGATGTTTGCATAATGTTCAGGTAAGAATAAGTTTATATTTTATTTATAATAAAGCAAATTATAGAGGAAATACCTCCAATCTTCATTTGTGAAATTCGAGCATGTGGTTCGATAAAATTTGAATTTGCCGCGACAATATAAACGGAATTAGAATGCTGATATAAATATATTTATAGCATTTATACTTCAACAAATGCTACTATAAAAGTCTTATATTTGAATCAGACTTATCCATGTTTATTAATATATTTGTATATCCCAAGTGCCAACTGTATATGCCAGATTAATTGTAAATTGTCAGCCATATTTAATGCATGCCTATAGAAAATTTAACTACTTGCTCAAATCAGCAGCAGTATTTATTCATATGTTTTGTTTAAATTAAACAATTTTCATTTTGAGAGGTCTTGCACCAGTCAATGTATTAAAATCTGTTAGCCTTTAGACATGCTTTAGTGTAATGCCAGGAAAATTATCCATGTTTTTCTATTAATTAAACCACAGTTTATAAACATAACTATGTGATGGTATTCAAATTAACCAGACTCTCTGCTAGCTTACATTTCATGCTAACTTGTTAAGATGAATGTGCTCAACTTTCAGTACTTTTTTTATTTTACCTTGTCTAACACCAGATCATTTTACTTGAAAGAGAGTGGACAACTTTGATAGGTTACCTTGCTGTCTCCCTGTGTTTTGTGTAAACTCATTAAGACCCAATTCACAAATTCACACTAATGCGCTCTATTTCAAAGCTCAATATTTTGCCCTGTTAATACCAGACTATTTTGCATTATTTGGCGTTAGCACATTTAGATGCAATTCACCCTAACACTCAATCCCCACTTTCAGTACTTTGATATTTATCAGATGATTTTACTCATCAAAATGAATGTTGGTCATTGAAAGGTTAATAATTAACTGCAAAAGCTGCTGTGTGGCATATTTAGAAGCAATGTGCCCTACTTTTAGTACTTTGTTATTTTACTGTGTTTATTCTATTAAAGTGCTAGACTCTCCACTTAGAGTAAAATAATAAATTGGGTGCATTTGGGCATATTTAATGGTTAACAAAACACATTGGAATGGTAGACATAAAATAAATGTATTTGTCTTTTTACAGCTATCAACAAAGTATGGATGTAAGGCCTCAGAGGTTCGTCAACATATGAGGACAAATATAAACAACATGGGAAAGTGTTGCAAAGTACAGAAAAGCAAACAAGAACAAGAACTTATTTGAGGACTATGTTTTGAGGCCGGTTTTAAACTTAACTTTAAATGTCAATTATGGTTATTACCTATGGTTTAGCCCATTAAGCGCCAGCACTCTGACGAGTAAAATCGTCTGGCGTTAGACAGAGTAAACTATAGTAAAATAATAAAGTAGGCGCATCAGGGCGCAATGTGATTCAATGGGTTAACTAGACACATATATAGGAATATAGGCTAGTTAACCCATTCGGAGCCAGCATTTCTTCTTGACATTCAAGTACAATTGTCTGGAGTTAGACAGAGTAAAATAGTCTGGCATTAGACAAAGTAAAATAGTTAGGCAGAGTAAAATAATAAAGTAGGATGCATCATATGGCATTGCATTGAGGAAGAACGATTAATTTGTCAGAATAGGTGAAAACTATAATTGATTTGTAATGTTTAGTATAACCAATTTCTCATATTAATTTTTATATTTGCAATATTAATTAGTATTTATTAATTAATATTTATATCTATTTTTTGCATTAAAAAATTAAGAGTGATGAACAACATTGTCTGTCATTTACTATTATTTCATCTAGATTCTAGAATTTCTGCAGGAATATCAAAAATCTTATAGGAAATTAGAATAAATTATTTTCTTATAGGAAATTCCTATAATAATTTGGGACTATAGACTTGAGAATTCTTATAGGGATTCTTCCTATTAAATTCTTATAGGAATTCCTGTAGAAAAAATTCCTATAGGAATTTTTCCTATAGGAATTCCTATAGGAAAAATTCCTATAGGAAAAATTCCTATAAGAATTTGGGACAAAATTCCTATAGGAATTTTTCCTATAGGAATTTTTCCTATAGGAATTTTTCCTAAATTCTTATAGGAATTTTTTCTATAGGAATTCCTATAGGAAATTTTCGTAAGGGATATCATCTTGAGATATCAGATACCATTGTTAGCATTATATTAAATAAACTTACCGGCCAACATTTAACAATTATATATATATATATATATATATATATATATATATATATATATATATTATATATACATGATATATTGTAGCACTGATCGAGTATTCAGTGGCAAGCTAGCGATGGCAACTGGTCATGCTATGCTAATAAACCTGTACTATTTGAATAATGCAAAAACTTGCATAGCATGACCTCATGTTGCTATGTGCTTTCTGCCTTTTTGTTTTTGTTTTGCTTCAATTTCAGGCATGTTAATGCCTGGCTCTGCCCACGCTTGGATGATATCTTGCGCGTGTGTTGCACGCGCGACCTGTCAGTAATGCGTCTGTTAAAATATGCGCCCCTTGTGCGAGTATTTTAGTGAATTCGGGCATTTGCTTCAAATCAAAATATATCATATATGAGCGACAGGATCATTTTGGAATATACAATGCAAAGAAGTCTGTATACTATTCAGTTTGATGTAATATTTGGCTCTTTGTTTAGCAATAAGTATAGTATCATTTGTGACAGCTGACCTTTGAACTGCTGATAAATAAAAGCTTCTTATAGTGTGCTATCTTGCCATTATTCAGTATTAATTGTTGATTGTTTCTTATTTTCAATGAAAAATTGCTTGTGAATTACAAATGAATTATAGCACATAGCTCACTCGGTCTTTTCTACCATGGCTTACTTCCCTTCAAGCATTAACTACGCTTCAAAATATCGGCTTGAATGCGCAAATATGAATGTTATTGGAAATATAATATCCCTTACAATAAGCGCCAGACTGTTTCACTATGGCGCAAGAAATTCATCACACGAAAAACGTGTTCGACTTGCAGCAGGGTAATTTGTCAAAATTTTGCTATTTTTATTAGCTAAAAACATTAACAAGGGAACAAAGTTTCCTGTGTAAATTTGGAAACAGTACATTTATTTGTAGATAACATTTAATGACGCAATTAACATTCGTTTGATGCCGATCATTGTAATATAGCCGCATAAAATAATGAAACCGAAGCCTAAATGTAAACTTTCCAGATTCATTCAATAAACAGTGATATTATGTGCGAATGATTATCGCAATTCTGCATCTTCTCAGTCACGAAATATATTGCTGCAGAGCCTCTGAATAAAACTTATAATTTTTTGTGTTGTTTTTCGAAATATACATCACATGATCGTTGCCATGACAACGAAAAGTAGGTCAACTTTTAGAATCTCCTTTGATAAATCATATAAAACTTGAATGGTAATAATCAAGGCCATACTTATTTTTTTATGATTTTTTGTCTATTTTCACTAAATACACAAATTTAGACCCAGGCATTTAATGTACCTGAGAAACCAAATTATTCTTGTCGAGAGCGAGGTAGGTGTATTATTAAATATATAACATTATTTTTGTTTATTTCCCACAATCTGTGGACCTATTAAATGTAGATATTAACTCCTTTTCGACCGGCCCTGTGAAAACTATTGCAGAACTGAAATAGTATTTTGGAGGTTCATATCTTCGGTTCACTACATGCTACGTAGATGAAAATACCACCATTCGATTCAGCGAGATAATATCTCCTGATTCCTAATGATAGTTTTAGTAAAAGACAAACATAGCGATTTATGACCTTTGAAGGGTCAAGAGGTGTCATATTTCAACAAATTACATATTTGTTCGAAAAATGTAAACAATGTATCACTAAAGCCATACCTTTCGCCGGACACAACTTCGGCCCCTTCGAACACGTCTTTTTCATTGTAGTCTTGTTCGATTCACAATCAAAAACACTATTTACAATGTTATTTTGAACCTTGTAGCCTCAGTTTTTCGTCTTTTATTTCGATATTTCAATCTGTTGCGATATTACTGAACTCAGCGGGATATTTTTTGACCGGAAATAGGATTTAGATTCGCCAAAACATCGCGTGTTTCCATCCTAGTGCTCGGGAAACGTCGGAAATCGATTCTAAAGGTCAAATTACATCTGCAGCATGATTTGCATGTGCATCGGGTTACAGGTACTTCTTATTCGCCAATTTTAGCTTGTGGCAGGCGCATGCGAGTAAAAACCAGATATTTTTAAAAACTCGAAATAAAGATTTGTACTGGCTGTATTCAAGTGAATTTCTGGATATAAAAGCGCCTGAATACAGCACATATTTCACTCATATTGATTTGTGGCGAACTCTGAAGAATTTACAAGTTATATACGCTATTGTGGAAACAAAATTCCGAATGTTTGGTCAAGCGGTGAGTAAATATATGATTGTTTCGGTTTGTGTGATGCTTTGACGGCATTCGACCTCCCGTTGAAAAGGTCATTTTATTAGGATTTCAATGGTATTCTTTGTTTTAAAGGGGGGTGAATACGCGCTGAGATATTTATTTTTTAAACAATTGAGTTGTAAATCGTCAAAATGTCGCTGGTCGATAAAGAGTTGAATGTGTTCATAAAATGCTTGATATTGAATTTTATTAGAAAATTTGAGTTTTCTTCAATCATGGTTTGATTGGTGGGACAAAAGGAGAAACCTTATTTTCCCAGCATACTTACATGTCCATGGCGGCTCTAAAACGAATCAGGCTGAGGCCATTCATGCAAGCCTGGGTTAAGTGAGACTGAATGAACCTTTCCTTTTAGATGCGGCACAAGCAGACCTGCGAGATAATGTTCTGCTTGAAGTAGATTACAAAGCATTTCAGAATGGTTCAGGAAAAGGTGGGAAGTGTCCGTCAAACTCAAACCATGAGAGATAATGCAATCCAGATGAATATAGCCCGTAATCTTGGCCTTGAGTTGATTAGGGAAGATATCACGGATACTGACATACTGATTCGAGTCTCTGAGCATTCAGCGTCTTCAAATCCTCACAACAGGCACAATGGGAGTGTTCAACATGGTGGCCGGACATTTTGCCGAAAGACATTTTTGCTGAACGGACATTTTACCGAAAATAGAGATATCTTCTGAACTTTAAATGTTCGCTTACATGGTCAAAGTTTCTGTGATTAAAGTCATTAATTGTTGATTTTGATGACAGAAACTTTGATAGTGAAGTATAGTTTCATTTTATATTCTTTCAAGTTTTTGACAAGTTTACCGAAAATTCGCGATATAAAGAATAACATCATTCAGCATCATTCATGAATGAGATTTCCCCAAGAACTGTGAATGTATTCAATGATTCTCAAAATGAAATTCGCTTACGTCGTCTTTATATACGCTTGTTTGTTTACGATCTGACATCATAACATGTTCCTAACAAATGAGTCATCTGATGCACAAACAAGCTACCAATAGTCAATATGATGCTTGTGATGTTACTCTGAGTGTATATCCACACCGGGCAAGCTTGAAAAATATGCCTGACCACGGTGGGAATCAAACCTACAACCTTTGGAATACAAGCCCAATGCTCTACCAACTGAGCTATGCGGCCTGGTCGGTTCGAGTATGTGATATTTTGGAACAGAATCTAGTTCCTTCGATATCAATGTAATCTAGTAATAATGATATTTTCTGTGTTGGTGCAATGTACTCAGGTGAATAAGATGCTTGTGATGTTACTCTGAGTGTATATCCACATGGTCAATATGGTTATGCACTGCTAACGACCATTATGCACTGCTAATGACCATATAATGGTTATTTTACACAATGGTTGAGAGTTAGACAGTTGAGAAATGAGTCACAGTCCCGAACATTTTCACAAAATAACATCTTTATTACCTACAAGATGTGCATTCGGCAGGATGTCCGTTCGGCAGAATGTCCGTTTGGCAAAATGTCCGTTTGGCAAAATGTCCATTTGGCAAAACGTCTGTTCAGCAAAGTGTTTTTCAGATGGAGAAAGAAATGGACAGTATAGGCCAACACGCAGCAAAACATTCCTGAACAGGCTACGAAATGCAAAAGAGGAAAAGTAAAAGTCACAGTGACTGAAAACGATTTCAAGAAGAGTTGCATTTGCAACTTACAAGGTAAGCATTGGCAAAAAGCATTCATGCAAATGCATGGATTTTTCCAAAAACGAGGGCAAAGAATTGTGCAAGCATACTACCATTTGCAAGCAACCGCAAAATCCAAACTTTTTTCACGTTTGTTTACGTTTCAAACGTACACGATGGGCGGGTCAAACGTGCATGTTGAAACGTAACAACAATTAGTTTGAACCGCCAAATAGTGACGTTTTATAAATCCCGCCCACACGTTTGAACAACGTGAATGCATGTTTCAATTCATTGTTTTCACGTTTTTTAAATATTTGACCTTGTAAAAAATTAATGTGAGTATGCTAAGAAGATCATACCATTCTGGAAAAGCACTTGATACCGACCTTAGACACCTGATCATAGACGAGTGTATAAACTCTGGTGGTGATACGATTTCTGGATATTTGCCTGTCACGTATGTGTCAGTAGCGAGCCAGTTTAACGTTGCTGTGAGTACAGTTTCAAAAATTTGGGAAAATTTTTGCTTCAGAGAACGACGAGTTGACCCGTTACCTAAGGGAGGAGATCGTTGTAGCAAGCTGTCCGACGGAGATCTCGAACTTATAGAGTTTCTTAAGACAGTGAAAGGTTCAATACAGATCAAAGAGTTGTATTCTGTGTTGGAAGAGGTCGGTGATGTTGGGGAAATTTCGATGTCGTCAATCTCAAGGGCAATAAAATCCAAACTTCTCTCAGGGAAACAATACACAAGAAAGCGCATCACCCACGTCGCAAGAGAATGTTTTACTGACGAGAATATGATATATACTCAGTTATTCATCAATTATTTGTCTTCCAAAGATCCAAGAATTAAATTTTTTGATGAGGCCGGGATGAAGA